GGGTTGTTTGAAAGTCGGAGGGCGTAAATCCGAGAGATTTTCAGAATCGCACCCCTGCCATAGACAGACATCATTTTAGGTTACGTAAGGCATCTCGAGTGGGATATTAATTGGATGCGCATATTAGCAAAATGAAAACAAGATTTGAAAATAAAGTTATAAAGGCTTCTTTTCATCGTCTAGCCGTTCTACTTGTCGCTTTGTAACACGCACATCTTACCTGACGAATACTTTCCGTTATGTCTTTCGCCGTATGTAGGTAATTTCATTGACTTGAGGATAGCGTATTATCTTTATAACAACGCTGTTGCAATCTATCGATGCTTTGGAAACAGTTGAGTGAATAAAATGCAACTTTTTAACAACCGAATGGGGATTGTAGAATGTTAATGGCTGGGTAGCACCGTTTCACCAAAAAAAAAAAACGAAACCAATGTAAAACCAATCATGCATGTCACAAATGTTTGGTGAATAAGGCGACATTTATCAATGTCATTTATTGATGGCTTTAATTAAGAAGAAATGGTCAAATGCAGTATCAATTATTCAAATGGGCTTACTAAGTCTTATGGAAAATGGCAATTTTGACTATGTCATGTAAACGGAAAATGGATGCACGCGACGCCGATACCCAAGTGACGTTAAATTTTTACATAACTGCATGGCAGAATTTGACTTTTCTTAATAAATGGATGCCAATGCATTAGACAGTTGATAATACTTGTCAATGCGTTAGGGTGCAGGCCCCGTGTAAAGGCGGACATTTGGCCAGATGGGGATTAGAAGAAAAAAAACCATGTTCTTGATATTATCAAGAGCTTTGGAAACTGCATACGTTCCATGCGCTTACGAGACATTTGTTGCGCAGTGTACCCTCCCTGTATATTGCCGCCAATTTCTCGGCATTTCCAGCGGTTCAAACGTTTCTTCTGGGTTTTATGCAAGTGCCTGGGTTTCCGTTATTTGAAAAAAGGTGTTAAATCGCCCGATCAATCTAGTGGAAGGGGTGAGTCGGCCAGTGATTTCGAGGTAAGCCACCAATTAAGTGCAGCCTGCTCTTCAGTCTTCATGGACTAGACTGAGATGCTTTATTTCTGAGTATAATTATAGCCCCATTAGTGTGACATCGTTCCTCACTTGTTGCAACAAAATTTGTTACTTCTTTATCCATTCATATTCTTTTCCTAAAGCTGCTGTGATTTTTTCGCAACTTGTTAGGTCACAACCCTTTCACTAAGCCTTTACGCAAGCCCTTCGTAACCCTTTCGCAGCCTTTTCACAACTTATTTGAAACAACCCTTTCGTAAACTCATGGTAACCCTTTCTCAGCCTTTTATTAGTTTAATCAGAGTAACCCTTTCATAACTTATTTTTAACTATGTGCAATATTTTCATAGCTCATTCAAAATAACCCTTTCGTAAGTTATTTGCAACCCTTTCGCGACATTTTCCTGACTCATTCGAAAGAGGCTTTTCATTAACTTATTGTAACCCTTTCACAGCCCTTTCATAATTCATTCAAAGCAAATTTCTCATAGATTATTTGTGACCCCCTGACAACTTTTTCATATCTCATTCGTAAAATCTCTTCATTAACTCATTGTAACTCTTTCGGAACCTTTTCGTAACTCTTTTGAAGTAACCCTTTTGCAAATTCTCTGTAACTCTTTCACAGCCTTTACATAACTCATTTCAAACAACACTTTTGTTAACTTGTTGAACCCTTTGGCAAAATTTTCATAACTCATTCGCAGTGTCCCAAAATTTGTCAATTTGGGTGGAACAAGACATCCAAATGAAAATAATTTTCCACTCCCACCTCCAACTTTCAATAGCAATTTACCACTCATGAAAGAGCATCTAATTGCATGATCGCATCAGCTTCTACCATTGTGCAGAAAAGTGTGCAATTTTTCCTTCTTCTGTTCTTTATTTGGGGGGGGGGGGCTAACCTTGTCAAGAATATACCACCCTCATCCCTTTTTTTGGAGAGGAATTTTCTCCTCTAACACCCAAGCATTAATATAATTTTGCTTTGAAAAATTGACTTACTTTCTTTGAAATTGGTATCCCATTTGTCAAGTACCTAGGTAGTATGCTCTTTTTTTTCTGGGCTGATTCATAGTAGTGTCAGTGTCAGTTATCAGTTTGTATTTATTGTTTTACAAATAAGAATATTACCATCAGGCTGCTCACGCATGAATGTGAAGTTTCACTAGTAGGGACCGAAATTCCTCATAATATCTTTTTACCTAGGGCTAAGGGGTTTTAAATATGAGCCTTCTGGTGAATGACAGTGACACTGAAGAAAATGTTTTTGTGACAAATTGGCTTTTCTTTCCAGATGAGTGCGACACCTACGTGCATCAACGCTTAGTGGACCTAAAGGACATCGTCAGCACCGAGATTTGCCAGCTGGAAACGCAGTGGGGCTACACGCAATGGAGGCACGCGTACCACTCGTCCTAGACAAAGAAACGTCCTCCGTGCTTCCGACGAACTTCAATCGGCGCGAAATTCCTAAACCTCGAGTCATGAGTTCATTCAGAGTAAAATAGCATGCCGAGGAAAAATCACTGTTCGGGACGAAAAGTGGAGTTCAGTAATTTAGATAAAGCCGGCCGTCACAAAAGCATATTGTTCTTGTTTTTGCCCTCCTGCCATGGATTTCCTCGGCCTCCAAAGCGGGATGCAGCTGCGACTGCTACTTCTAAAGTGTGTAAAAGTCATGAACCTATAGGACGATAAGTCGTGATCTCGATTAACTTCGCCACGAGGTTGCGAACTTAATGAAAATGTTCCTGTCGGTGTTCTTGTTGTCCATGATCGGCCCGTTTTTTTTTCTTCGTATTCAGTTATTTCATGTTTGTGATTTAACTACTGGGCGGGCAGAATCTATGCAAGTGTTTACCCAACAACCTGTTGAAAAACAGGACGGAATGCGACATGCCTTGACGTAGGACGGCCGCCGACTGTTGAAGGCAGCTAAAAATTGTTATGTGACTTGAATTGCGAGCGAATGTGCACCTATCAAAATGTTGGCGCGTCAGAATCTGGTGCGTGAGCGTGCGTGTCAAAATGTGTTTATGTGACTGCATTAGATTTGTGATAAATGTTTTGATATGCTACTTGCGAAGAATATACATTCTATATTTACGCGACGTTGATTGCGTCAATATGAAGAGATTGAACATGAAAATAACTGGCCCGCACCCTGACAGGTATCTCCCATCGCCGCCATGCCTAGTTACCTACAAGTTTGGATCATGCCTACTGATACTTCGATTAGGTAGTCAATTTTTAAGATTAAGTAAATTATGTTCAGGTAAGTGAAGTTCTCCAATTTTACTCTTATTTGAAACGCTTAAGTAGCCACATTTGAAAGAAATAGCTTTAGCGTTTGTCCCCTCACCCTAAAAATCATTTTTGCCCGCATAAGGCCTGAGACCGCTATTGCACCCAGTGACTGGCAATGAAGACAGGGGGTAAAAGCAGCTTAGGCTAGGCGCAATGGGGGTATGGGTACCATCATTCGAATAGCAATTAATGGCTGTTTGATTATCTACTGGGGCATTAACGTAATATTCAAATTTGACTGAGTTGTAAGCATTGAAATATAGTAAAAGTGTATGTTATATCGACCGATAACGAAAACAATCGCGTCAAAAGTAGCATAAGCCATCACTGACTTGTGGCTAATATGCATTTTTAGAAAGCTTACTTTGTGGGCTTTCGTATTCCGGTGGGGCATTTATCGAAGGTGTCATTTATTCATTAATTTTATTAGTTAATTATGGTGATACCACAATTTTGTCTAGTGCTTGCTTATCAAGACACGAGAAAAAAGTAGCTTAGGGTAGGCACCATTGAGGCATGCGTAACATCATTTGAACGGCAATTAATTGATGTTTAATTATCTACTGGGGCATTAACGTAATATTCAAATTTGACTGAGTTGTACGCATTGGAATATAGTAAAAGTGTATGTTATATCGACCGATAACGAAAACAATCGCGTCAAAAGTAGCATAAGCCATCACTGACTTGTGACTAATATACATTTTTAGAAAGCTTACTTTGTGGGCTTTCATATTCCGGTGGGGCATTTATCGAATGCGAAATATGTGCAATGATATTATTAGTTAATTGAAGCGATGCAATTATTTACTAATCAAATTATCCATTAAAATACCTATTTACATCGCGAGATGTATCATGAAATTAAGCTATAATATGAAATGCATTTTTCTTAAATTTTCAGTTAAGGTTTCGTTGACGCATAACGTATCGTTACTGAATAATTTGAATTAACGTGCGATCCGTTGCGATAGTTCCGACCGGCCGCCGATGGTGGCGCTGGTGTCGCTCCGGCCGTTATGGCCGCGGCCGCCGCCTATCGGACAATGGTGTTATTCATGAATAAAGTAAGAACCTATACCATGATGAAGTTTAGATTTTATCATATATGATGTACCATTCTACAGCTTTATGGAATATCAAAAGAAAAAAATCGTAGAATCGATTAAAGGAACTGTATGAGTTTACGAACCTATCATCTCACAATTAAGCTTACACTTAATCTTAACAATTTAGCTACAGTTTTAACTTGCACACCACACACACGGGGAAAGCAGTCAGCGGCGCGACGAAGGAAACAGCGTGTACCGTCACGCTAGGAGGAAAGTGTTGGACAGTGGACACACCTCACAATGCTTTTGACGCAACCAGCTGTAAAATTGTCATTCATTCAGTAGCCACACGATCAGAAGATTCACAAAAAAAAGAACATTAGCCGTGCCTGGGTGCATCAGCCAACGAGATCCAATGTTATCGATCCACGTGCAATGGCGGACACCTAGCGCTCAACACAGAACTGCCCTACCGCAACGAACGAATCCAGCCCGGTACCGCCACTCAGCCGGGCCACACTGACACACCGTTCACTCCGCGGACCACAACAGAGCTCGCCAGGCCCGGGGCAGGCCCCGGTCCGGTCTTACCTGAGCGGTGCAGGGCGCGCGTGCTGCGGCCGGGATGTGCGGACACCGACGGAGCGCCTGCTCGGCCGAGACCCTCCGACCGACGGCCGCGCAGCCGCACAGCGCGCCGCTTATCAAGCGGCGGCCGCTCGCCAACGCACGATTGCCGCCCCGGCCTTGGGCGCGCTCTAAATCGGCGCAACGTTTCGCGTAGTCGGCTCATGAAGCTGCTATCGACACCGGCGGCTGTACAGGGCGCCTACACGAACGTCGGCTCCACATTACGCTCGCAGACTTTGTTGGTGCGTTTTACGCATATCCTGCTGGTTGGACCGCTGCCAAGCACGCATGTTCCTCGCCAGTATCCTACTTTTTGCAGCGGCTAACAGCTGAGGGAGGGGATTTTCAGGTCAGGTCAATGACCGGAACCCGGGAAAAAATCGGACGTGCCAGGCGCTCTTCAAAAAGTTTTTTTCTCGGGTATTTTGTTGCTTTGATTTCAAATGATGCCTTCCTTTTGTTTCAAAGTGCTGTATTTGCGCATCTGAGGTAGGCTGGGTCAGGTCAGGTCAGGTTGATCATATGATTATGGCCCCTCGGTGCATATTAGGTACATTTTAAGTAGGTAGCCAGTAGCCGTTTTCACGACAGCTATCTCATATCTGGTACACATTTTGTGCATATTAGGTGCAATTTTGGTGCAGATTTGGTCAAATTAGGTTTATTGTGTTTTTAGTAGTTATCAGCTAGGGTGCACTAGTTCATTATATATCTGATCTTTAAATTATCAGACATTATTTTCCATTAGCCCTCGCCGGCACGGGGCTAATTGCATCAAATGGTTGATGCAATCCCCTAAGGTTTGTCGCGAATAACTCGCGTCAAAAGCGGCCGATCGCGACGAAGCTTTCAGTACCCTCGCGTTGATCAATTTTACACCTACCCTGAAGATTGCATGACCCTGACCCAAATGACCTTTGACCTGTGGCATACTTTTTGAGACCATGTTTGGCCGGAATCGCGATTCGGCGTATGTCAGCTCACATTATCCGCTCGTTTGCAGCCTTTTCGTGGTTTCAAGCATATACTCTGGTTTCAAGCGTTCAAACATGTGATATGATGTTGCTCCCATGCATTAGGGCGAGTGTCAAGGTCACCTGAGGGTGGGGTCAGGTCATTGACCTTTGATGACCTCGGTCCACTTTTTCGAGTTTCACATGTTTCTAGGCTAGTTTTTGGAGCTGAGTTCTAATTCAGCAGCCATTTGCACATTTATGAAGTAGTTTTGGTGCTTTCGTAACATGTTGCAAAGCTTTCGGAGACGGTTGATACGTATTACGAATACCCGGTGGCGACGAATACGAATGCTGGTTGACTTGACCTCTGACCCGACCTGGCCTAAATGCATAAAGACATCATCTGTGATCAAAACTAACATGATATTCGTGATCAAAACCCCGAAAGCCCCATGACAGCCACACTTTACGACGTTCTAACAGGTCCCGATTTTCCCGACTTTTGGGTCATTGACCTGACCTGGAAGGTCAACCAATGACCTAAGACCAGGGTTGTATACCAATCAAGTCGATTGAATTGATTGATTTGTTTCAACGCGTATTTTGAGTTGATTGGATTGAGTCGATTGACTTTTCGAGATGACTGGTTGACTGACTCGTTTGACTTTAGCGACTGGTTGACTGATTTGATTCCCGAAAATTAGAGTGACTCGTATGATTGAGTCGATTGAATGGAAAGTTCAAATAAGTTTTAGTTGATGAAAAATAATGACACCAACTGATGACATCAAAGATCACAAAACTACACTGAAAACTGCTTGTCAATTGTCATCACAACTGCAATATGGGTAGATGGCCAAATAAAGAACAGGGCCTAAACATGAACAGCCAACTTTGACTTTCAACTGCAATAACTCATAACTGCTCCAATCCTGGTGATAGAACCTGGCGATGCACCTACCTACCTTTCTGCACTCAGCAGGAAACGTTTTTTTTTTTAATCCAGATGATAAAGTGCAAGGCCCTATATACTAATAAAGTGTGATTAATAATTCACATCTCCACATCTCCTCAGAAACAACCCACTGAACTCTATAAATATCTGAAACCCCTACAAAAATAACTGAAACAAAAGCGCTGTTTTCGTCTCACTAATTACGTTTACATAACTAATTAATAGCTAAATTGCTGCATTGTTTAATTTGCAGCAGAACGTTTGTTGATCGTTTTCTCCTGAGAGCTTAGTATAACATATTTAACATATTTCATTTTCCGTAAAATATTTTGCCAAATATTATTAAGTGGTTTTATTTCAAATGAAATAATAATCAAAACGAAATTGGTGTTGTACAACCGATTTATTTTATGATGATCTACCATCCTACATGATAATCAATGACGTCATCTTACCAAAAAATCAAAAGACGTAGAATAAGGATTTATAAAAGCTTAGCATACTTATTGGCAAAACGTTTTCTCGCACCGTGCCGTTTTCGCGTTTTAATTTTCCTTGTTCCTACTTCCTTTGTCCTTAACTTATCCTGTGGTTCCAGAGTCCCTGTCCTCTCCATTTCCTTTTAAATATATTTTTAATCCTCATCCTTATCCCCCAGTCCTAACAGTTTCAAATTGTATTGCAATTAAATGTTTTGAATTCTTCACATAGGTACCTAACATTGAAATGCCACGTCCAGAGTCGTGGACCGCTAAATACTTATCTCTTCCTTCCCAATCTGACAACACCCCACGCCTCAAATGCACATTGTGTGGAAAGATTTTTCAGGCTGCCCGTCAGTCTCTGTCTAACTGAAACCGTCACATGCAGGTAAGATATTTATTTCTATTTCCCTATATGGTTAATATGTTATTGATGCATATTATCCATTAAAATAGACATGGTGTAGGGTAAATTGTCCAAATCACGAACACTGCCAAAATCCGAGCAGCCAACTTTCAACCGGAATATCTGATATTTAGTGTAAATGGAGTTGGAATATGGCCAAAATTAAATTGACAACCTTTAGGTGAAAGGTGGTGATTTGGGTTAAGGGGCGAGTCAACTACTGGGTTATTTTGCACCCATTAAATGAAACTTCTGCTCCAATTCTACCCATTGAACCTCAATATCGTGATCCACCTGTCCATCACTAGGTATCCATCCTTATTACATAGAAACTTTGAATGGCATGGCAATTTATAATTTTAAATGACAATATTTTTATGTTTCTTCTGTGGGTAGGTAGGAAGGTAGGTAGGTAGGTACACCAGACTGCTATGGACACTTTTCCAAGTTGGTGGGGTAAAAAACCTAATGTATGTGTTGGTTTGAGTCGTTTGATTGAGTTGATTGATTCCTTTCATTGTCGCGTTTGAGTCGATTGAATCAATTCCCGAAAACTGCTCTGACTTGATTGATTTGATTGGTTTCCCAAATTTGTCGTGATTGAATTGATTGCTATTGATTGAGTCGTATACAACCCTGCCTAAGACCTTAAATTTGGTATCTTCCGTTTTCTCCCGTCGCGGGCGTCGGGCAACACGCTCGTTTTCCTGCGAAACTCTAGCTTGATCAGGGTCCAAACGCGACGGGGGCATATCAGCCCCCCTTTGTGCCGTCGAAGGAGGCACCTTCAGGTGACCTTGACACCCACGATAATGCATGGGGGCAACATCATATCACATGTTTGAACGCTTGAAACCACAAAAAGACTGCAAACGCGCGGCTAATGCGAGCCGACATACGCCGAATCGCGATTCCGGCTTCACATGGTCTCGAAAAGTAGGTCACAGGTCAAAGGTCATTTGGGTCAGGGTCATGAAATTTTTAGGATAGGTGTAAAATTGATCAACTCGAGGGCACTGAAAGTTTCGTTGCGATCGGCCGCTTTTCACGCGAGTTATTTGCGAAAAACCGAGGGGGGTCCGTTCGACCCCCCTTTACGGGCGAGGGTTAAGATATTGACCTCGGGTCAAAATCAGATCAGAAAGCCAAGGTCACGACGTTAACCCTATTCCTGGCGGGCTCCGCCGGGACAAGAAACTGGCGGGGGGGGCCGATTCGGCCCCCCCCCCCTGAGATCTCGAGAACGAAGCATGATAGCGACAAGCGGTAAACGGCATCGGATACGCACGGCCAAGATCTACAATTTTTACTAAGGTCATTTTCAGGTCAGGTCAAAGATGACGTCACAGGGGTCGAAAAAGTCAAAATGGCGGCACTAGATATGGAGAGAGTTTTTCTCGAATAACTTTCGAATTAGTCAAGATAGGAACAAACTAAGGGCGTCATCGTGATCCTCTCGTCAATCCGCATCGAATGATATATATGTTGACCTCGAAAGGTCAAGGTCAAAGGTTGACCTCAGGTCACGTGACCTCGAGGTCATCATGTATATCATTCGATGCGTCTTGACGAGCTGAACACAATGAGACCATCCACGCGTCTGTATCTTGTTCCTGTACGGAGTTATTGGCCAAAAACCTTTGGTGACCTTTGATGACGTCACATGACCTCACAGCTGCCCAACAGCAAAACAGACCTCAAGGTAGTGAAGGTTGATCGTATATGAAGTCATGTATGGTATATGGAGCCATTCCGACCCGTTTTAGTGGTAAAAACAGGGAGTTGATTTTTCCCCCATTGACTTATAATGGGGAGGTCGCGAAATTGACCTGACCTTAGGTCACCGATATCAAAATTCCGAGATATACAAATTGCACATACTGGTACCCTAACTAAACCCTGAAGAGAAGAAATTGATCGGTCAAAAACTCTAGCTCTGGCGTGATTGCAAACTTTTCTGAGGTAGGGTCACCAAACCGCCTCTGGTGACCTGACCTGAGGTCAGATCAACTCAAAATTTTCAGACATGTTGCGTAGAAGCCTTTTAGGAAAAGTCAGAAAATTTGAGCTTCCTAGCTCAACGCGTTTGGGAGAAATAACCAAAAAACCTCAGGGGGGGGGCTCCTGAGGCCCCCCCGCCAGGAATAGGGTTAAGCAAAGGAGATCATGTCGCATATCATTCGATTCGGCAGGTCTTTCGGAGCCCATTGATGGCTTTCCCGACTCTCTAGCTCAATTTGACCGGGAGTTATTGACGAAAAACTCTTCTGACCGTAGTTATGTCATAAATGACGTCACACAATGCCAACAATGCAAATGTGAAGCATCGTAAGGCGTGCACTGTGCATGAAATCAC